AATTATCTCTATTCCTTTAATGCTTTTGCATTTCAAGCCCTTTCGGCTAGTGAATCTGCAAATAAACAATAGCTTCTATCTGAAGCCAGAGGTTTCTTAATGCCTCACAGATGTGTTTTCATCCCAGCTGTCACACTGTGCAATTGCCAAAATCTGTTGTGACAAATCACAGCTCTGAAGGTAGATTAGCAGACATTAGCAGACAACAGAAGCAGACATTAGCAGACATACAAACAAAGGTTTGTAACAAAGAAAATGCAAATATATCTTAGCTTATTGTTTGTTTCACTGAATCCCACTCTCCTAAGGTGCACCCCTTAAATCTCCTTTTGGTTTCACCTTTCCCATAATTGCACAGAACAAACCTGAACTGAGAGTGTACAGAAATATGCATTTTCTCTTGCTCTGCCTACCTACTTCTGATGGGGTTTATTACATAAGATGAAGAATAACTGAAAAAGATCATTATTTATTATTCTTTTGATTGACATTTATGGTATTCTCCCACATATAAACAATACGTGCAGTAGCAAAAGGTTCCTGCTATTTTATTAGTGCTGTTCTTTCATTTATTCCTACATATTTACCAAGAAAAAAATCAAGGCTGAAGGCATGTGTCCTTTTATTTCATATGAAAAGTCTGATTTTTATTGAGTGAGATAACTTATTTCATGATTTTGGGCCAAGCTCAATGAAGTTTTACCTCCTGTTGGTATTAGATTTTGCCTCATTACAGAATGTGTTATTCAGGAGACAGATATCACTCATGATCATCATCCCAGAGGCTTAGATCTGTGGGTTTTTTAATCCTCTAAAAAATGTTCAGACTCCACACAATTTATCTGTGAAGGAAGATAAGAAAAAAAGTACTTAGTTTTTGTACATACTAACAAGATACATACTATTCATGACCCAGAAGGAAGTAGTGCATGGACTTCTCTCTGTTATCTGTGGGTAACATGTTTACATCCACTGCTTTTGTTAGGATAACTGAAGAGATAACAGAAATGAATAAGAGATGAGATATTAAAGCTTCAGCTTGTTTGAATAATTTGTGTTTAGGAAAGTTAAACTCCTTCCCATTTTTAGAATGAATATTCTTCTCAAGTCAACCCACAATTTTCATGGGCTTTTCATCTGCACAGGGAGACATACCAAGAGAACAATGTAGTTTCACATGTCAAATTATTTTCTACAAGTGACGATGAGCCAAATAATTTACAAACACAGTAATAGTAAAGAGCCCACTGTATAATACCAATTCTTTGCCAGAAGCAGACTTAACACTGTATCCTGGGGAAAATAGCATTTGCATTTCCCTTAAAACAAAAGATGAAGTCTTCCTACTGAAAAATTAGGGGCAGTTCTGCTTTTAATTTTACTTGAAATTCGCTCCTCTACATGCTAACATGCATTTCACAAAATGTTGGCGGGCAACAACGAGACAGTTGCTTTCAAACTTACAATACAAAAATGTTGAGAATCAATTTTTTTTCCTGCCCTAAAAATATGTAAGGGCTCACCTGGATGCACTGAATTATTAAGGGTTTGTATGAGGACAACTGAAGATGGGATCTAGGCAAAGTTTTCTTTTTTAAAACTGTTACAATTGTGTTCTTCTTTACAGCTGTTGCATGATTTATTGGTGGATTTCTTTAAATATAAACTTTTGATAAGGTAATTCATAAATAGCAGTAGTGGCTGAAAGATCTGAAAAATCCTCGCAAGAAAGTGATGGAAAAAGTTGGAGATACTCTGATCTTCTCTTGCCCCAGTCTTTGAGAGGTAGTTTATGCTTCTGCTAGCAGTGTTCAGTATACCAGACACCATGTTAGTTCCATGATAGAAAATTACTGTAGTACCAAGCACGAGTTAAAACTTTTGCAAGTTGGGAAGAAATTTCTTTGCTCCTTAGAAGAGTTCTCAAGGTCCATTGAGTTTTTAAGACAATTTCTCATTGTTGTTTGGTGTGAGAATAATTGTAGCTGCTCCTTCTCTCCCTTCCTGCTGTCACTTGCTCTGCATTTAGGAGCAGGTTTTAGGGAATGGAGACATGGCTACTGCCACTTTGGGATTGTCCAGCATTAAGAGCAAAAGTACAGTCTTCTGCAGGAGGATGCTTCCTCTCCATCTGCCTTCTTGCTCCTCCAGTTTTGCAGTTGATTAGCCTTCCTAAGATTTTCATAATAAATTTTTAGTCCTTGTAGTAGCTTTATGATATAGGAAGAGCTTCATAGGTACCAACATCCTAAAATATTCTGCACTTATATGAGGCCAGAAGGACGAGTTTAAGCAGCTGAGAAGCAAATTTTCCATTCACAGGTTTAAGGTGCAGAAAAGCACATAACTCACTTTACTATACCCTTACCGTGAAACGAAGACCTACAGCTCTGCATAGCAGCAGTTTTCTGTATGATGAAGGTACATCCTGTATTTCTCCTTTAAAGTCTAGACTGGTTATTTTCACTGTTTAGTCAATACAAACACACTATCTAGACTAAAGAATTTCTTAGCCTGTTGATGTACTCACTGGAAGTGCTAAATAAACCAATCAGTTGGAACAGAAGAACTGTTAGTTTTCAATGCTGATTATTTTTTTCTTGCTTATTTGCATATCCTAAGTAAACATTTTTATATTCTGGCTCCAGAATTCCTTTTGCATGTATAAAGGGTCTATTTGCTAGCAAAGTTGCCCTATTGATTTGGACGGGGCTTCTTCTGTAGCTTTGGAGAACCTTTAGGATGTGGCATATATGTCAATGCACCTGGATCAGTTTTAATGGCTAAAACAGCATTTACTCTCATCATCCATGATATAGTTGATTCATGCTGACAGGTGGGAGATGCCTTTTTAGCTACTTTTGGTCAGGTTCTCTTTATTTTGTGACATTAAGACAAGGTAGATTTTCTCAACTTGAAACATCCACCCAATGGATTCCATGAGCAACCTATTAAATTAAGTCTCCTTGAAAGTAGACACCTATAACTCCTTATGAGCACTTTTCATCTTTGTCAGGAAAGAGGAAGATCTTGTTTCTGGTTCTACTGGTAAATTTTTGACCTTAGAAAAGAAACTCTAGTTAGAACCATGAGTACTCTATTTGGAATAATGTGGGAATGCATTTCAAAGCCATCTCTGCACCCTGGAGGGTTTACATCATGGCAGTAATCCTTTTAATATTTATTAAACTGGACAGCATGGAATCCATAAAAGCATGGAGACAGCAGGGTTTCCCCATCGCAGGAAAATGAGTTGTGGTTCTACTCTTGGCCGTACCCCCTCAATTTTTCCTCAGCCTAGGGAAAACTCCAAGGACATTGTTGCCTGTGACAGGGCAGTTTCCTAGTGAAGGCTTTCAGTATTTCCACCCATGAGAAGAAATGGGATATGCCTTGTTACATGTGTATGTAACAGGAATTCCTAGAGGTGTAAACCTTTGCATTACCAGAAGAGCCTTCAATAGCTAGCAGGTTCAACTATGCAAAAAAGATTCGTTGTAAAGCTAAATATTGACCAGCAGTATTTCAGAGAAGACAAGGTTTCAGGATGTCCTAATTGGATCCTACAGCACCTGAAGGGATCCTGTAAGAAAAATTGAGAGAGACTTTTTACAGTTGTGTGTGGTGATAGAACAATGTGGAATGGCTTCAAGCTCAAAGAGGGCAGGTTTAGGTTTGATGCTAAGAAGAAATTCTTTCCTGTGAAGATGGTGAGGCATTGGAACAGGTTATTGAGGAATGTCGTGCCATCCATGGCAATGTTCAAGGCCAGATTGGATGGAGCTGTGTCTAGTGAAGGTGTCCCAGGTGTCCCTGCCCATGTGAAGGGGTTGGAATCAGCTGATCTTTTGGGTTCTTTCCAACCTAAAGCATTCTATGACTCTGTGAAGACCTGTAGAAAAGAAAAGAGAAAACAGCAGTCCCCTATACAAGCTCAACCCAATACTTTGTAACAGTACATGAAGATATATTAAAATAAACTGTATGGCTGTGGCACTGAACTTTCTTAGTAGTGAAATACCATTTCTGTATTCATGTTTCCCTTGTTAATATCTATTTAAAACTGTTTTGAGGTTTGCTGTTTGCTTCCAGTTTGGCAGCTGCCAGATGATACATAAATATGCATTTATCTTTAAAATTCACTTACAAATTCAAACCATGCCATATGTTGTATGTAATCTGAAGGTATTTTCTTCATTGGAAAAAATAAAATACACAGGCACTTGTTGTGATGTAGAACATTAGGCAGCTTGCATACGTAGTGAGCAGGTAAAGATAGTAAAAGATGACTTGGAAACTGGTACCAAAAGTGATACATATTTTGAGTTACTTTAATTTTTGTAAAACCAAGCTGAATCTTCTCTTTTTTTTTTTTTTTTTTTTGTACAACTGACCTTCAGACAATATTTATTTTACCATAAGAAAAAAATGAATATTATATTAATGCGAATGCATTTCATAAAAAAATGAGTAAAAAGCCAGCATGGACTTAGCTATTCATGTAGTCCAAATGAGTAGAATATGTTTTGAATTGTGTATAAAAAGATCCTAATGACATTTCATTATTTCTTGGTTACCTAAATCATGGGAGGTAAGACTTAGAGAAATACCCATTACACTTTGGGAAAATTATTCATATTTTTCCATTAGAAGCAAGGTATTTTGGCACTTGTCAGTAGACTGCCATGATTTTGTAACAGTGAAAGTCAAGACTTCACACTGGTTTCTGTTCCTGTGACTGACGCATTGACAATTCCCTTGAAACACTGAATGCAATAAATAGTACATAGAATTTTCAAGGAAATATTTGACAAAAAATTGCATCCAAACTGATGAAAGTTTTCTCTAAAGTTCTCCAATGTATGGTGCAATTTGAGAAAAAACACTTGACAGAGACGGTGCTTGTATTTGAGGTTTTTGATGACTGCTGCTACAGGCTTGTTCAAACTTTATCTAGCTGTTACTCTTTTGCTTAATCCATTATCTCTATCTCCTTTTAGGATCGGTGGAACCATGCCTACAGTCTTCTCCTATTTTTCGGAAGTGCTCGCTAGGGAGAAACGAGGTGAACACCTGAGCTGGCTCTGCATGTTTTGGATGATTGGTGGCATCTACGCTTCCGCAATGGCTTGGGCAATAATTCCTCATTATGGTAAGAAAAGCCATAGAAGAAAGAAAAATCTCCTTGTTTTGGAGGTATTCTAGTATGAAAGTAAATATCTTGAAGCTTGATAGCTTAAAGAAGAGTCTTCATATCTGTTTTTGAACTAGTGACCTAACTGATAGTAATAATAATAATAATAATAATAATAATAATAATAATAATAATAATAATAATCTTATTTATTTATTTATTATAACTATTATTATTTAATCATTCCTTTTGTAGGGTATAGTGGGAATAGATTGTATGCCAAATAATAAATAATTTATTACAAGATGCAAAACTTCACCAATATCCATATTCAGTCAGATTTTTTAAATTACTGAAAACCTGTACACATGAAAATTTAAAGTCATTGTTAAATCTGGAGAAGATAGATGATGTGGAGATTTCCATCAGAGAAATTTTAAATTGCAGGAATGTCTAAGTAGTGATCCTTTTGATACAGTGATCGATTGTGAATTGAACATTCTTGAGAAGAAGAGTTTGCAGTGCTGAAATCTGAAATTAGTCTGAAAATAAAGCTGTACTGAATGCTTCTTAATATCTTAGTATCTATCTTAGTAGATATTTTTAGTGGTGTAAAAACAGATAAATGAAACACAGTACATTTAAATGCTGTAGAGATGTGTGAGGGCAATGGCTGAAGTTATACTCACGTAAAATACAAGCTACTTTGTCAAAGAGCTCTTTAATTTCTCTGACATAATTAAACATAATATGGAGGTATAGATTCAATTCTTTGTCTCTTGTGCTTGCATTTTACAAGAGTTAAGTGCTCACAGGTCTCCAGGGTTGCTTAGACTGCTCAGGCGTTCTTAAAAATCATCTTCTTAAGCAGTTCTCTCTGGCAGGCCCCAAGTGAAGTAAAGCAGCACTGTGAGCTGGCAACCAAAGCAACTTCCTTTAGCCAAGCAATGAGGTTTATCAAAGCATTATTGTGAAGGTTTGCTTGAAGTGATGGGAATATTTAGCAAGTGATAATGTCCAGAAGTATATTATAATAGTGCAGATTAATCAAATACCTGGACTGTTGCATTAAAATTATTTTAGGGTTCAGTACACCAAACCTGAATCTCTATCTTCAGCCTTGCCTTTTGACTTTGAACTGCTGGAAGCAAAGAGAGGAATTTGTGCTGACAGGGCACAGTATGGATTTTTTTTTTCTAAAGTAGTAAATTGCTCTGGATGCCAAGTACTTTTTTGCTTTCCTATAGACTTTTATTTTCTTTATCTTTCAGTAGAAAATGCAAACATTATGACAGACTAATTTACATAGGTTGTCTAATTTAATGTAGATTTTATTAATAACTTTATATCCTTTATTGAGGTGCTTTTAGAACATCACATGGTAGTATATTTTAATATAGTGCACTTATACGAAAGCAGTGTCACTACAGGGAAAACATTTCTCTTTCTTTAGCAGAGGAAGAATATCAGCAACAAAAAGGAGTGCTGCACTGAGTTTTTTGTTGTTTTTCTTGTTTTTGTTGTTGCTTTTTCCACCTACAAAATATTTGTTAAATAATATAAGACAAAAGAAAGTAAAAAACTATTTCAAAACATAGTATGCTTTAGTGCTAGACACACAAATCACTACTTGCAGTTTATTAAGGTAAGTTACAATGATCAAAAAAGGCCAAAAAATCAAGCTATCAGAAGAATCCTTTTTCAGAGTAAAAGAAGTAAGTTTGTACATCATTTTTGGCAAAAATTGCTCCCAGGGCAAGCCCTGCTCCAGCATTTGGGGAGTGTGGTCACACGTTACTGTCCCCTCCCAGAAATATTCCAGGTCAAGCAAATGCCTATTCAGGTGTCTACACCATTTGTATTACATGCATTTACAAGGAGGCTCTTATGGTATTTTCTATTTTACTATATCTGAATTATTTCTACATAGGTTTATTTTGCCAGAATTAAGCAGAGATAGAGATTTTCCTCCAAATCCCTTTCTGTACTTCTCATTATTCACATCTTCAGTGACCAGGAAGCAAAACATAATTATTATAAACTACACATCCACTTTTAAATTGCATTTATATTAGTGCATGGGTATTTCTGTGTTCTCTGCTTCTCACTTGAGGACCTGACAATGTCTGGTTTTCTCAGCTGGACTCAGAATTTATTCAATAGCAGTGAATGAGCTCCATCTGTACAAAAAGCAATAAACTGTCATTGAGCACAGTGGAGCTATTCTTCTATTAACAGAAAGATAGCAGGTCAACAGAGTAGAATACTTCTGAATATTCTTTTCTTCCCTCATTTACCAATGTATTCCTTTCATTTGTAGTTCTTCTTATACAAGCCATTTTAAAAAGTCCTAGCATACCTTATCTAGCCCAAGGCAGACTGTGAAGCTGTATATGTATGTTTGTCCATTGAACATTTAGATACATCTTTCTGGGAGAAAACACAGATTACTCTGTATATGTAACAGTTTATCTCTGTTGCTGTTCAAGCAGCATAGCAGTCTGAAACAGGAGATGCCCTGGAACACAAAGTAAAATGTTGGTAACTGTTGTTTTAACATCAGCATGTTGTTAACTGAGGGATAAGTGTGATGCAATGCTGCAGTCACCACATACGGAAAGGCTAATATCATCTGGAAGACAAGCATCTCTCTAGCAAGGCTTTTTGACTGAAATATCTGTTTGCCATTGTTTAAAAACTGAAAGTTTGTGTAGACCAGTTCAAGGTCTCCTAAACTGGAGCTCAGGCTGTGAAGAAGAAACATCTGCAGAGAAATGCTTCTAATTGCAACTAATTTTAAAAGTCTCAGATTAGACTGCTAAAAAGAAATTCCTCTCTACAGTTCTTATATCAGTCTCGATAGGAGAAATAACAATCATTCTGTAAATACTTCTGCAAGTGCAGTTTTAATTTCAGCATCCTGTTTCAAAGTAGAGTAGTTCAAAGATGTCAGAGACTTCAACAGTGTATTTCAATAGTCTTCAAAAATGTTTGTTTTTCAAATAGTGAAGAATCCCAAGAAAGAGAAATTTTAGTTTAAAATACAGATATTTATATCTTACAAAATTTTTTACACCAAGCTTATTATTTACTCTGAGAATAGGAATTAAAAAGAATTTTGGAAGTTGTTTATCAGTTATTAAAAAAGAAAAAAATTCTGTGGCATGATCATAAAAATCAATCTCAGTTTTTATTGTAACGTATCTCCAAACTAAACATCAAGGGAGGCTAGATAAGGATTTCAGTGTCCTTAGCCTATCAGTTCTGATATTCTGTCTAATTTTATGTACTTTGCCTGTAAGAGTCGTACAAGCCTTTTCTGGCTTTATGGACTATAGGGAAATCTTTTGAAATTTGCAACAGTCTCTACAGTGTTTTACTTAGTCATAAAAAATATTGACTTTGTTGGTTCTTAAATCTTATTCTTGAACAAGAAGAGGAGTTCTTGACCAAAAAGAAATTAGATTGCAAGGAGAAGAACAGGATGGTGCGGGCATCCAGGCTGTTACAGCACAAACTGGAGGGGGAACCTGAAGCTTTTTCCAGACTCTCACACCCCACTTCTGGTATTAACCAGAGAAGAGATGAGATAGCCATGTCAAACAACATTAGTGAACAAGTCTCCACCGTATGGCCAGAGAAGAGACATTACCTCCATAAATATGCAAAATATTCCAATTAGACTCCATTATTCCCTAAGCCACTTCAAATTTAATAATACAGAATCAAGAAAATAGTAAAAACACTTCTTTCCAACACTTTCAGTACAAATCAGATGTAAGTTTAAACATTCTTTCAGACAAGGGTAATCACATTATATGACAGATCTTCACCTGAAGTATTCATTTTTCATCACTAGAGTCTTTTGTCCTACTTAATTGAGGACCACTTACTTGTGTTCATAAGAGAGGTATTTAGTACTATTCAGGAAACAAACTTGGAGTAAAAAAGTGTGGAATAAGAAGTCTACAGGAATGGCATTCCATTTCAGAAGTGAAGATTTCTTGCCTAGGTGTAATGTGTCTCTCTGGCTGTAAGTGGGAAGGTATTGATATGTTCTCTATTACAGCAGAGTTTTCTATTGCATCAACAAACAATTGGTGTTTTATTCTGTGACTAAAAGTCGCAGTTACAAATTACAAAATTGTCACTGGTCACAAATGATATTTCTACTTCAGTCATTAGAGCTTTACTGGAGAAGGCAAGAGCTTTACTAGAGAAGGCAATTTTTTCCTGAACGTATTTTTTTTTGAGAGAGGAAGTTCTTTACAGTAACAGAACCTAAAAATACAGACACTGAAGTGTCCAAATAATGCACTCACTCTTGTCTTACAAAGCAATATATTTAAAATACTAACAATAACTTCTATTTTAAAAAATTTTAATTATGTCTCCTACTGCAAATTTTTGAAATAATTTCCTGGTCAGTAAAATATACTCACTTCTATTTTCTCTGAATGTTTTTGCTTTTTTTCTTTTCTCCTGTCAATATGATTAAAGGGCAGAAAAAGGGACTTAATTTAGATAGGATAGAAGTTAAATTTTAAATGCAGTTGTTATATAGTACTAATATGCACTGCCAAATATATTTTCAGAATCTTCATTCACTGGATGTTGTCAAGGGCACATGAAACTACAGACTGTCCTTAACAGTTTAGAACTACGCTAAATTCACTAGACCTACCAATGGACACCTGTTGACTGTTCTTATTCTACTTTCCATAATTAGATAAGTTGTTTTTTAGGCCCAGGAGTACATAATGGCCTCTGAGTGCAAATGTGAGGAGAATGGACCAATGTGTTTTTCTTTTGAGTAAGATCTGGTTTGCAAAGTGGCCTGAAAAATATTTCTCAGTTTGTAGCAGATGATCGTTGTGGTAAAGCAATTAAATTAATCTGAAGAAATTTACTCTACTGGCAATGAAAGTGATCCTTTTATCACCCTTTACCACGATGGCTTGAAAACATTTTTGTTGTACTTTCCATGTCATGTTTGCTCCATTTTTGTGTCATGCAAC